CTGGATTGTACCTGTAAGTTTATTTTAAGCTTAAAAAAAAAAAAAAAAAAGCGGTAAAAACGTGACAAAACGCAATGCACCCTGTTCCAGATCTGGTTTCCCCATTGGAAGATTTCCCCTCACCTGTTGTTCTGTAGCAAAGCTGTATAATTTTGGTCTTCCCATCACTTTCTGTCTTGGTAACAGTAGTCACCAGCACAAATAGAGAGGGTAGATCTACCTGGCAGGAATGCAGACTGCAATATAACCTGGGAAAGGGTTGTAATTCTTCCCTACTCTATTTAAAACTAAGCAGAATAGGATTTGACTATACAGCACAAACACAAGCAGTACTCCAGACCAGGAAACATCTACCATAAAGACCTCCCCCCCCCCCAAAATTTATCCATTATTTTTTGACTTACAATTGATTATGTGAAATCCTTTTGCTCCGTGTCTCTCAGTGCTGCATCCCTGAACTTCTGGTGGTGGTGCCCATACTGGACACATAAATATATCCCATGACTGCTTGATTCATTTCTGATTCAACAGCCTTTGCAGCATGCCAACATGCATATGTGCTTAGTATGATTCACGTGATTCACGTACAGCACTGTCTCTGGAGCTGCTGTCAGTCAAATCACAAGGACGTGGAGCAGCTTGCAGTCCGGGGCTTCAGCGATGCCTGTTGGGGGTTGGCACATCAGGCTGTGAGCCAAGTCTGGAGCATGCTCATAAGGGTGGCATTGGCTGGGCTTCATGACACCCTGCAAGGCAACATAGCCACCTGTAAAAATGTTTTTTCACATGGTGGATTTAATAACAGTTCAAAGAAAATCATCTGTAATTTCCTAAAAAGGGCAAACATAGCAACCAATCAACTATCATTTTCGGAAGGTGGTCACCAATGGCATCCCCTGTATTTCTCCCATTACTGTTTTACTTTCAAGAGACCCTGTCGCCTCTGAAAAACGTGAAAGGAAAAGCATCCTGCCAAAGAAGCAGCCTAATAATTACCGGTCCAGTAAGTGGTGATACAACTTTGCTCTCTTGAAGAGCTCCAGCCACCACTGCTATCCAACTTTCCACGTGTGTCAGATAGTGTGTCCCTTGTGGGTGCAGTGGCTCCTCCTGCTGATCCCTACATAACTATTGTTTCCTGTAGTGAAACAGTTTAAAGTCCATATCTTGTTTTATTCCAAGGGTCTTCCGACATCACAGGTCCTTTCACCTCTTTTGGAGTCTCAGTGGGTGGTACTTAGGCCTATACTGGACAGCACATGTGTAATAACATGTCATCCAGTGTTCAGTGTATGAGTAGGCTGGCATGATGACTCACCCCCAGAGGGCGTCTCCTTGACAGCCTGCACTCATAGAAAGTAGGTTGAATGATGCTGGCCCCATGCTTTTTTTTTTTCATTGTATTATTGCTGGCTTGTTTCTTTCTTCCATATAAATTTATAAAAATTAATATATAAAACAAAATGAAGTTCTACTTCAAATGATACAATGAAATGGATCTCATCTCAGTTCAAACCAAACGATCAATCAATATATTTTTTTCTAAAATGACTGAGCACTGACCATACTCACCGCATCACTCACCTACTGCGCATTATTTATTTGCGGTTTCTGTGCCATTTTCAAATTGCTGTAGGATTGCCATGTAAAATGGACTGTGTTTAGAAGCAGCTGCCCTTCTTCTTCTGTCACTTTCCACTGCAAAGTCAGCTCCTGGAATACTGAACTAAAGGACACCTGATGAAGTGACATACACAATGTAATGATCAGAGGTTAATTATTGGAATATCTTCTTTTTTTTAATTGTTTTTATTTGGTTTTTGCAGAGGTTAAGGTACAACAGTACAACATACATCACCTGAGTTCCTACACTCAGGGGCACATCTTACATAACAGTTACAACAAAAACCTTCCTGTCCCCCTACCCCATCCCTCCCTACAACCAGAGCTGTGTGATCCGCATAACATTCATGTACTTCAACTTATAGGACTCCTGTTCAGAGCATTAATATGTGGGTTAGGAAAGCTCCTTTGGAATATCTTCTTTGAACTTTTCATTCTGCCTGCATCTGAATTATAATTTGGGGCTCCACTGATTGATGCAGCTGATGCTATTACTAGGGATGCACCAATACCGTTTGTTCGGTATTGAGTACAGATATTTTCTTTTCGGTACAGAGTACCAATACCGGTGCACCGATTATCAGGAAGTCAGGTGGCGGATCATGACCCTGATCCTAATTGCCTGTGAAGCCGGAGTTCTAGTGTAAGAAAACCGGCTTCACTTGCCAAGGCTGCCTGGCTTTCTGACAATACAGATACTGGTATCGGTAAAGGTGCATCCTCAGCTATTACTATTGCTTATAACCCCTTCCAATGGCCAAAGATCATCAATATTAACAACAACATTATCTTTTAATAGGTTATAGACTTGGTGTTTGCTCCTCATTATTATTCCTAAGGGCTTAAATCAAAAGGCTTTGGGCTCTGTCAATGTGTTTGCTTTTGACATCAGTTTGAACCCCTTTAAGATCATTCAGAATCCTCTGACAGGTGCATTTGACCTGCAGTTGACCTCCTTATGTTCTGTTTCAAGCTGCTTTAGAGTCAATAGACTTCAATTCTGAGATCATTTAGAATTCACTGCAGGGGCAGTTAACTGGCTTCAAGCTGCTTTTGCACTCCTATAGACTTGCATAGGGAGAGAAGCAATTCTGATGAAAATAAAAGGCCCTGATATTAACTCATGTTTCCATATTTTGTCAGTGTCCTTTATACAATATCTATATTTTGTATTTGCAAATAGCCAATACAGTTGTGATCTGCCAGCAAATTGCACAATTAGTCAGCAATCATACTGAATCACTGTCCAATGGGCAAACAAGTGATAAAGAAAGGGGGGAAGCTGCCTTAAGAAAACAGTGGCATCTCCATCCTGCCTATGCACTATTGGAAAGAAGTGGAAAGAAAGTGCTAGCCCTGCAAGGTTTAGCCTATTGGCGTGGCTGGCCAATTACATTAGGGAAGAGTCGGTATAGGTGATCTGACTACCAGACAGGCAGCTCCTACATTCCAGAGGATCTCCGCTGTCTCCTTGGTTTATGGTGTCAAATTGTAGGATTGTGAATTGGAGCATCACACTCCATTTAATAGTCCAGAAACATCTTTATTCAATGTAGGATTGAGGGGACGGTATAGAAATAATATAGAACTACACTATCCCCTTAACCCCACACTTAATAAAGATGCATCAGGTCTATTAAATGGAGTGTGGTGCTTCAATTCACAATCCTGCAATTTAGCTATGCAGCGTGGCAGTTGTGTATGAACAAGAAAGGCTTAACAGAATACAAATCCATTTGACATACATGTGTTGCAACTGCGTATTTCCCCATCTGCCCTGATTTTCATTTAAAATGAACATTGCTTTTCATGTTAGAAGTTGGTGCTAGTATTTTTCTTAAACTGCGGTTATTTTATATAAAACAAAGAACGTTACGTGTGCTGCCTGGCCAAACACAACCGAGACCACATGGTGATGCAGATAGTGATAAGGGTGGAGTTTAACATGTGCGCAAAAATGGTTCTAGCAGCAAAGGGTTAAGAAGGTAGTGACATCACTTCTCCTCCATAATAAACTAGAATGGACAAAAGTCCAGCTTTATTGTAGTAATGTCCAGATAGAAATCAAATGTAGTACAACAAACACCTCATCATGGTATCTCTCCAACGCCAGCGCTGGTGTGGGAGAGATACCATGGTGACGTATTTGCTGTACTAGATTTGATTTTTATCTGGAAATTACTACAATAAAGCTGGACTTTTGTGGATGTCTTTCTTTGTGCGGCTGATTGAACTGGGAATTGTTAGGGGAGTGGGAGAACACTACACGCATATCGGCCAACAGCCAGAGGTGGAATTGGAGCGGTGAGTTCTTGGTGCTTTTTTGGACAAAGTAGAATGGAGTTATTTATGTCAGCAGAAGAGGGTAGGATGCACTAATGTATGCTCTGTATTTGGAAGGACTTCCCCTATCACCCCCTCCAACCTTGTTGTGTTTTCATTTCACATCACTTGTGAAGGATATCTGCCCATTAAACCAGATGGTCCACAAAACCGCATGCATGGTCAGCTTTATATTGGTCAGCTATATATTACTATACAATATATAGTAATATATTGTATTACTAAATTGTAAGCTCTCACGAGCAGGGCCCTCCTAACTCTATTGTACTGAAATTGTATTGTATTGTAACTGTATTGTCTCCCCCGTTTTGTAAAGTGCTGCGCAAACTGCTGGCGCTATATAAATCCTGTATAATAATAATTTACCACATTTAGAAAGTAGTAGGCCTTGGTGTACAGGTGTTGTGCTATTTATATTGACTACAGAACACATAGACCTACTATTTGAGCTATGTAGGTACGTCGATGCCCTCACCTCCTGAAAATTAAATTTTTCGAACAGTCGAATACTCTGTATGTTCTCATGACCGATTTTCGCTTGAAATGTAGACATTCCCAAAAAGGAAACCCCTGCAAATGTAGTAATAGGTAAAGTCAACACAATTCAGGCTGAAATGGATGCTGGTTCTAGAAGTAAACAAATTGTAAATCTTACCATAGAATAACATGAGCCTCACAGACTCTTCACCAAACCCCCTCCCACGAGACTCAGGTTCTGGAAAGCCAAAATGCATCATTAGTAACAACACAAAGGACAGAGTTTGGCGGTAGGGAAGTTCTGACTATGATTCTGGTAAGACAAAGTTGATGACAGGAGGATAGTAAGTAAATAGAAATCAGAGGCATCTCAATTATGCATTACCTCTTTATCTTCATGCATCCTTTGAGACAGAGCATGCAACACAGTGAATTTTACATTAAAACAAATTTCTGGGCTCACTGTCACATCATTGAGGAGTCAATTTTATACCGGACTTTTCTAGGTTTAAAATAGAATTCTGCTTTATATATATATATTAGCAAGATGTAGAATTCTTATAAGATTGATGAATGAATTAGAGAAATCTGGCAGTGACATTTATTAAGGGCTGCTCAGAGTATGGCCATGTGAAGTGAAAGCTAATTAGGCAGGACACATAAAGGAAAAGACATTACGAGAGTGTGAATTGATGTGTTGTGTGTTTTCCATGAGATGAACAAGAAGATTCAAGACATTTGCATAACTAATGACAAGAGAGTTTCAGAGGCTACACACAGTTAAAGTGACATTAAACCCTCAGATTTTTTTTTAACATAAACCAATACTGTAATGTGTGCTCGCGCACGCAATTTTAAGGCTTGACATGTTTGGTGTCTTTTTACCCGACGTGACCCCGTCTTTTATATTTTACCAAAAAATTGGGTAATAATAAATGTTTTATCATTTAATATAGGGGAAACAGTTTTTTTTTATAAAATTTCGGTAATTTTTCCTTAATATAGTAAAAAAATAAAAACCCCAGTGGTGAATAAATACCACCAAAAGAAAGCTCTATCTGTCCCCAAAAAAGGTACAGCGTTGCATGACGGAATGAATGTCAGTCAAAGTACCGCAGCGCTGAATACTGAAAAATGGCCTGGATGGGAAGGGGGTTTAACACCGTGGATGTCAACTGGTTAATGTAGGTACGTCGATGGGGTATATGTGTGCACATTGGGTAAATTATGGTTATACATTTTCTTGAAATAAATTGATTTTTTTTATACTTTATGCCAATTTTGTTTGAAGAACATTTATGTGATCATATGGTTTCTCAGCTCATCTCTGATGTGTAGCCGAGTGGAACTTCTTCCAGTATTCATCTGCTTCCTCTTCCTAAACTACTTTTTAACATAAGTCTCCTGTATACTGTAAATCGCAAACTTGTAGCAGCAGCTAAAATGCATGGTGTATATATCATTTTATAATATAATATGCCCAGAGTTCTTCTTTAAATAATGACAGCCTTACCAGCAATCATGATTTCAATCTCTGCTAATGATGGATTTTTAGGATCAACTATGAACAAATTAACATCTCCCACCATGCACGCTTCTTCTGGGCATCCCTGATCCCATTTCGCAGCATCCAGAATGATGAAGGTACACTCTGAAATGTGAAGAGGAAAATGTTTTTCGTTTTCACAGGACAAAAGAGAGGAAGAGATGGGGCACGTGGCAGACTGGAGAACACAGTCTGCCCCTACTGACACTGTAATGAGTGTGGGAGGAATATTACACTGTACAAGCCACATACAAGCTATGCAGTTCAAAGACAAATACTCCTTTAAAAAATATACATCATTAGCTTTCTATTCTGGTAACGTATTGTCAACCTATAGCAGGTACATTTTTTTCTTTTTATTATTCAAAAGTTTTTATTATTTTCATTGAGGCATATACAATGACCATCAACATACTACAATATAACAGAACAACATAAAACAAAAAGACAGTCTTCGGGGGTTCCTTATTTTTCCATCTCTAGTATCTGGTCTCAATTGTCGACACAAGCCTACCGTTTTTAATTTCGGCTCAAGCTGGCCCCCTGCCCAGCTTCCCGCTCCAAACTTCGGCCTTAGCGGAACTATTCCTATTTTACCCCCTGAAGATATACCTACGTCCCATCTTGTTATCTTGGGGTTTAGCAATCACTCGACCGATGGTCAAAAACCCAGGGACTTGTCGACTATTCTTACCAGAAGCTTGTGTAAGAACAGTCGAGACCAGATTACTAGGTTATCCCTATTATAGTGTATCATCGACCTGAGACTGCCTTACAAAACCTAAAAACATAATAAAAAAATAAAAAAAACAACAAAAAGCAAAAAAAACAACAAAAAAAAACAAAAAAAAAAGAACAATGTGGTTATATAGCATCTGTTGCAATAGGTTTTAATTTTGAACATATTAAGATTTTTCTGGTCGGGGTGGGCTAGGGCTCGCCTTCGCTCCCTTCCTCTCATACTCCTACAGGATTTACATATGCCGCCCATAGTGCCCAGGTAAGCTCAAACTGTTCCATTTTGTCTTGGAGTATACTCGCCAATTTTTCATGAGTCATAATCCAAGACAGCTTAGTCCTAACCTGGCTCAGCGGTACCCTGGATGTCTTCCATGTTTTAGCAATCGTAACTTTAGCTGCCAGGAATATGAAATTTATCAATCTTCTAGAGTGTTTAGGAGTTTCAGGGATAGTAACATTAAGCAAGGCCAGCCTAGGGTCTCTCGGGACCCTTATGCCTACGACCCGGAAGATTAAATTAAAAACCCCTCCCCAAAAGTTTCGGATACGCGGACATGTCCACCATACATGGTACATAGTGCCCTCGAGCGCACATCCCCGAAAACATAAGAGCGATGTTCCCGGGTACATAAGTGCAAGTCTAGAGGGCACCAGGTACCACCTGGAGAATACTTTAAAGTTGGCTTCCGAGAGTGAGACATTAAGTAAGCCTCGGGTTGTCACCCTTGATCGACGTTTCCAATCCTCCTCCGAAGCCACCTCACCTAAGTCCTGATCCCAAGCTAACATATACGGCTGTTTAGGGGGAGAATCAAGCAGTATGGAGTACAACATGGAGATGGCTCCTCTCTGATTGTTGGCTTGGATATGCCAACGCTCGTATGGGCTAGGGCTTCCGCGGGAGTCCCCCCGTGAGAGTATAGTGTTTAAAAAATGCGTAATCTGACGAAAACGGAATAACTCCACAGTCGGCATGCCCAATTGCTCCCTGCAGTATTCCAACGTCAGGGGTCTCCCCAGTCTAAGATATTGATTAATTCTATATAACCCCTTATCTAGCCACCATTTGAAGGAT